ATGAAGAATGAATATGAAATACTGGGCAGGTCAGCAGATTGTACCATTGATACACCTCCGAGGCACCTTCAGATGCTGAAGATAATCAAAGCAGAATGAAGGAAATCAAACGAGATGCATTTTCCAGTAGGCACCAAGGAAATCAGGGGGAGGATAACAGGAAAATACCTGTCTCGTGAAAGCTGAAGAAAAAATGAACTTGCAGAGTGCAGTAAATCATTCTGTGTGACTGGGAATTGATTAACAATCGTTATCTGTGATCGAAACCAGAAAATAATTACAGGGGTTATTGAGGCAAGTAACCATTTTGTTTGGTTACTTGATCTGATTTCAATGCATTAAGGGTGTTTCCTTTGCTAAGAAAGCGTATAAAAGTGCTAGTCGGTACAGGTGCTTCTATCAACTTCTCTTGACTTCATCCACGTGTTTTCAGAGAACTATCCATAATGACTCCAAGGCTGCATCTAGACTGGCATGATTTTGCGCAAATACTTTTAACGGAAAGACGCACAAGAGAGCGTCTATACTGGCATGTGCCTTTGCGCAAAAGATTTGCTTTTGAGCAAAAGCATCCGTGCCAGTGTAGACCCTCTCTTGCGCAAGAAAGCTCCGATGGCCATTTTAGCCATCGGGCTTTCTTGCACAAGAAATTAACGCTGCTGTCTACACTGGCCCTCTTGCGTAAGAATTCTTGAGCAAGAGGGCTTATCCCTGAGCAGGAGTGTCAGAGTATTTGCGCACAAACCACTGATTTGTACATTACGAAGTCAATGTTCTTGCACAAATACTCACGGCCAGTGTAGACAGGCAGCAAGATTTTGTGCAAAAGCATCATGCCAGTCTAGATGCAGCCCAAGATCTCTCTCCTGAGTAGTTGTAGCTAAATTAGTCCCCATCATATTGTATGTGTAGGGTTGGTGTCCCTAGCCTCATTTTACTAGAAGCTAGAAATGGGTGACAGGGGAAGGTTCATGTCCTGATTCCCTGTTCTGTTTGCTCCCTCTGGGGCACCTGGCATTGGCCGCTGTCGGGAGACAGGATTCTGAGCTAGGAGGATGTTTGGTCTGAGCCAGTGTGACCATTTTCATGTTCTCACCCACACATTCCCAGGGAACTGCAGGACACGAGGGTCACAAACCAGTAGCCCATCCTGGGATGGAGCCTGGAGAACTGAGCTCCGAACGTGGGTGTTATAGAGAATGAAAGCGTGCCTGGTATGGGCTAGGGATTGAGTCCGGAGCATCTGAGGAGGGATAAGAAATAGGGTTGTTCTCTGGGATGAGTTGTTCAGACCGTTCAAAAACTGCATCGCCCCTCCCCACTACAGCCCCCCTGACCGTCACTGGGCAGGTCTGGTGCTGGGGCTTCAGAGGCTGTTGCTGGTTGTCCGAGGAAGGGAGAGACTCTGACTGTGCCAGGAGCTGCCTGGGAAGGGCCTGCAGGGCGGGAATGGGGAGTCACTGGGACTGTTGTTTGGGGAAGTGCAAGGGAAGGAGCACAGCCGAGAGATGGAGCCTGAGGAGGGGCCCAGAGCTCTGCCCAGTGCACCAGGACCCAGGGCTGCTGGCACTGGGGAGGAGGGGGGACACTCCAGTTTCAGAGGGGATGTGTAGCTTGTGGCCTTGGCTGGACTGACCCACAGCCCCTGCACCGGGCTGTCTCTGCTCCAGCGGCAGCTCTTTGGAGGGTGGGGGGGTGTCACGCAAACGTCTGGGATTCTGACACCCAGAGCGCGCACTGTGGGGCGGGGTACATGGTGTCAGTGTCGTGGCCGGCGGCACAAGTTTCATTTATTACTGCTTGGGAGGCGTAGCCGTGTCAGTCTCGAAGGTGCTAGCTAACAAAACATGCAGCTTTGGTGGGCACTGCCCACTTCTTCAGATGACTGGAGTTGAAGGGATCCAGGTTCCAAATAAATAGCAGAAAAAAGAGGGGATGGGGAGGGAAAGGAAAGGAGAAAGTAAGAGGAAAAGAATAATCGATTAGAACCCTCTCCATCAGCTTCATTTAGCATGGACACGCTGAGTACTCGGAAGAACCTGGTCTTTGGCTTTTTGCCATGAGGATGTGGAATGTAGCCGGCAATCCAGTTAAGGTCTTTGCTGAAACCTCTGCTGTAGGGATCTTTCCTTGTTTAATTGATTTTATTCCACTGCGTGCTGTGGATTTACATTAGGAGTGATATTGAATCCTCGTCTGTTAGAACCTGTGTAAATTGTGATGTAAAGGCGTGTGAATTCTAACCCAGGGCCATGGGGTGTATTGTGTTCATCACGCCTGGCGGTTCCCAAGGCCCACCACTGAGTTTGTGCTGGGCCCAGCCAGCTGGAGGTGCCACCAATTCTGAATCCATTTAGAAGGAAGGGACTGTGACGTGGGGTGGACAGAGGATTCCCAGCTCTCCAACATCACCAGTGGGGCCCTCAGGATCCCCTTTCATATTCACAAGATCAATCTCCCAGGCAAACTGGCGCATGTGGCCTGTTCCCGTGTAACCCGGGGAGGGTGGGGGTGGGAGTTACATGAACGTTCTCCAAAATGGGACAGAACGTCCCAGAAGGCAGGCAACTCAAACCAAACAAAGCCTCACGCAGCCTCGTCCACGAACGCTCATGCAATCACTAAATGATAAACCCAACGACTTGCTCTAACACTTACCCACTGGGGCATGGGTGCATGGAGAGAACCGCTGAGGTCATGCCAACTTACGTTTGTTTCTGCTGAAGAAAAGCTGGCATGAGTGGAAACATAAAGACACAATGGCCCTTTGATCCTCCTTGCTTTGAACCAAAGGGGGGTGGAGAGGTTGGTGGCTTCCTCGTAGCCGGAGAGGGTGCTCCTTAGGACCAGCGCAGGAACTCCTGTGATAATCCCGCTGCAAGCAGGCTGGACCTGACTGGGTGCGGCAAGAAGCCCACGGCATCGGTGCAGAGGGAGAAAATCCAACCTACTGGGCCAATGGCCCCTTTGGAAAGCTGCTGGAGGGCTAAGGGGGGAAGACTGGAATGAATGTTACGCACACAGAGACTGAGACGTGGCTATTGATCTGAGCAAGACCACTCGGGGGCACAAGACTAGAGCCACAGCCTGGGGTGGGCAAAATCAGTCCCGGGGCTGGATCAGACTCGCCCAGCTGACTGGCAGAGGTGCAGGCTTACAGCCCATAGCATGTCTAGCTGCTGCTTCCCTCCTTGCTCTGTCTTATAGCCCAGCAGCTCCCCGGTTCTCCTGCTGGCTGTGCAGAGTGGAGGGAGTGGGGGGAGAGGACAGAGCTGCCATCAAGGTGTCCCTTTGCCTCTGTGCCCCCCCTCTGCAGAACAGGGGTCGGGGATAGGGAGGCACCGCATGGCTGCTCCAGTCTGAAGCACAGATGCTGAGTGCCTGAGAGGAGAACCAGTCTTGAGAGGCAGAGCGTGTTGCTAAAACTTCAGGGCTCAAACTTCCTCCCTCTCACTCTCGCTCTTGCTCTTGCACATGCACATGCACACATGCGCATGAATGCACACACACGCACACACATGCACACCCATGCACGCACATGCATGCACACACACACGCGCACATGCACACACATGCACACACACATGCATGCACACACTTGCACATGAATGCACACACACACACACACACACACACACACATGCACACACTTGTCTTCATCTCTGCCGAGCAGGGCAGGGGGAGACATCAGAGCGGTACAGCTTCCCCTGTCTTACAAAAACAGCGCCCGGCTTCTTACCTCACATCAGCCGGCAGACACACGCCCTGTGTCACTGTCACACACACAATGTCACACACTCTCCTAGTCTCTGCACCGTACACTCAGTCTCTGGCACAAAGTCTGTCTCTCCCATACAGAGTAGCCCCCTGCCCCACCCCTTCTGCCTGAGGCCCCACCCCACCCATGAGGGCCCGCAACCGCCCTGTAACCGTGCACTAAAATTCATGAAGTGGCTTTTCTGTGACCGTGAAGGCCTATCCCTGGTCTAAAATTATCAAAAGTGACTCCTGGATGCTCAGCCGGAGACCTCTTGACGAGGCCCTTCTGGTGTTCCGCAGCGCCTTTGTGCCACGGGTGTCTGTGAATGTTTCTCCCGTTGGGAGCCAGAACTGAGCCACCCAAAGACCCCGGCCGATTGACCAGTCCATGGTTTGAAAGGATTGGGGAGCTCACAGGCCCGGCCTCCTCCTGGTTCTGCTGAAAGCCCCAAGCTGGGATTCTGTTCTCCCTTGCACTTCCAGAAGGACCGCATGGCCACTTCCACCTCTGCTGAGTGACTTGAGCATGACAGCAATGTCAGACCAGATTGCCTGCGCTAGGCTGCGGGGCGACCTGGTATCTGAGAATAAAGCAGAGAAGGCCAGTGACTGAATCTGGACCTTCAACCGTTCCTGCTCCCGCCTGCTAAGAATTTCCCTTTGATCCTGGGTGAGAATGAGGGAGAACTGAAGGAAAAGTCTCTACTACAACTGAAGCCATCGAGATCTTCAGACTACTTGCCAATGGTTTGCTGTCCACACAAGAGGCAGTATCAACCAGATATGGGGAGTTTGATGGGTGCTGGTAGAGGTTCAAGACTACATACCCCCTTACAACCCTGCGGTCAGTCATGGGGACAGGGCAAATGCCTTTTGGGAGGGGGGTCTCCATGTACTTGGTTTGCTTGCAGCAGAGGGGCCTGAACTAGATGTCCTCTCACGATTCCACCCAGCCTTATCTTATGAGCATTCTTGGCGGCTGTGTGATATTAGGGCAGGGAAATAGATTGACTGGAAATAGAGAACTGAAGTTCATTTACTGTTTGAGAGATATGTAACAAGGACGTAACTTCCCTCATGTATGGGCCAAGTAATGTGCCTGATTCTCGTCCTCCCTGCGGGTTCCAGAGGGATTGATTAGGGCACAGGGCTGGTGCTGACCGTCAGCTTAGGGTAGCATTTCCTCAGGAGCGCTTTAGAAGAAGGAATGTTGGGGGAAATAAAAACCAGAAGGTCCTTGGTATAATGCAGAAAACAATTTTAATGGGAAATGGCCCCAGGGTGCACACTGAAAGAATTCATTGATACAGAACACAGAGAACGCATTTCCAGGAGCACAGGGAAAGCAAGAGCAGTCACCAGCAGCGATGTGAGGGGTTCCACACAGCGTGTTCACTCACTTCCTGCAGCTGCAGGGCTTGAAAATGGTGTCACATTTGGGAGCGGTTTTACTCGCTGGCTGTAAAGGGCTCAGCACGAGAAAGGACAAGGCAAGCTACAAGCATGAGACAAAGTCCCAGAACGAGACAGACCATAGTGCTCAGGTACTAGGTAGCATAGGAAGACATTGGTAAGTCCAGTTCATAAAGTGAAGATCACCCACAACCCCCCGGCATGGAGTGGAATTGTAGATGTTCCTGCACCAACAGTTGCATCGGGAATTTCCATAGTGTCATTCTTTTCCTGCTTGGTTTCGGTTCCTTGGAGCTTTTGTCTGGGTTTAACATGGCGGACAACAGTCATATCGGTTAGCATAGCACTTCCGATCATATCTCGACCATTGTCTAAAGGAGCCCCCATAGCCACCACCAGAACAACCCCCAAATCCACTTCCAGATCCACCCCCAAGAGCACCACCATAAACACCACCCCCAAAAACACCACCGTAAACACCGCCCCCGGCACCGCTCCCAGCACCACCCCCAGCACCACCCCTAGAGGGGCCATAGGGGCCATAGGGGAGCCATGGTGCAGAGCTTCCCACAACACTGTCTTGCGCACAAGTGGCAAGAGTTGGTCCCGGGAATCTGATAGCCACTGGTGGAGCAAAGACCACGGCTGTGGAGTCACCGCAGGATGTGACACATGGATCATTGCAGACAACGGCGCATGGCTCTGGGCATAAGTCGGGACACGGGTGGCATCGCGGAGCACATGGAAATGTCATCGTCGGCGAGTGTTGTGAACCTGAAACACAGCAGGGAGCTTAGGGTAAACACAACCCACAATTCACAGTGTCACCAGAGATTCACGGCTCATGTTGTGTGGTAATAGCTGTGAGGATCTGCTCCCGTTTCTGCCTGTAGTCTTATCCCTATTCACCACTAGTCTTCTTCCCAACCATTCCTCAGAAAACCTTCTCAGATTCTGGCTTTCTCCTGCCTATGCCAGGAGCATTCCCAATTCCTAGTCCAGGTAGGAAATGTTCTCCTTCTTCTCGGTTTTGATTGGACACTGTTTCTTGAGATCAGCACTGCTTGGAGCTTGCCACCACGCCCTCCCACAGTTACATCCACCTACCCCTCTTGCTCTCTGTTTCTTGAGGATGCTCCCACCCAACCTCAGTCCCTTCTCTTTACATCTTCTGATGCCATTCAAAAAAGCTGTCCTAGGACGCTCAACGTAAGTCTTTCTCTCTCGCTGATTCATGAGGCTGTAAGTCTCCAGGACTTTGCAGAATGCATCCTAGACTGCTCAAGGAGCTGACTGAGGAGATGTTGGAGCCATTAATGAATGTCTTTGAAAGGTCATGGACTACGGGAGAGATTCCAGAAGACTGGAAAAGGGCAAATCTATTGCTCATCTACAGAAAGGAACATAAAGAGAAGCCAGGGAATTACAGACCAGTCAGCTTAACCTGTGTACCAGGAAAGTCAATGAAGCAAATACTTAGTAATCAATCTGCAAACATGTGGAAGAAAATACAGTGATAATTAACAGTCAGCATGGATTTGTCAAGAACAAATCTGACCAAACTCACCTGAGAGCTTTATTTGGCAATGAAACAAGCCTTGTGGATGGGTAGAAGTGGTGGACATGATATACCGTGATTTTAGTAAAGCTTTAGATGCAGTCTTCCATGCCCTTCACATAAACAACTTAGGGAAATACAACTTAGATGGGGCTACTATAAGGTGGGTGCATAACTGGCTGGACAGCTATTTCCAGAGAGCAGTTATCAATGGCTCACAGTCATGCCAGAAGGGCGTAACAAGTCAGGTTCCCGAGGGCCCTTTGTAATCATTAGCTACATCAATGATTAAGATAATGAGCTAGAGAGTACTCTTCCAAAGTTTGTGGATGATACCAAGCTGTGAGGTGTTGCAAGAGCATTGGAGCATAATATTAAAAATCAGAAATGATCTGGACAAACTGGAGAAATGGTCTGAAGCAAATAGGATGAAATCCCATGCAGGCAAAAGCAAAGTCTTCCACTGTTGCACACATACAACGTGGAAAATGAATGACTAGGAAGGAGTCCTACTGAAAGGAATTTATAGCTAAAAAGATCACAAGCTAAAAAGGACTCAACAGTCTAACACGGTTGCAAACAAACAAACAAAACAAAACAAAAGATCACTATTCTTTTGGGATGTATTAGCAAGATTGCCAAAAGCAAAACATGGGAATTAATTCCTCTGCTCTACTCTCTGCTGATTACAGCTCATTGGAAGTATTGTGTCCAGTTGGAGAAAATCCAGAGAAAAGCAACCAAAATGATTAAAGGCCTCATGTACGAGGAAAGGGCAAAAAAACTGGTTTATTTCAACTGGAAAATATAACCAGAGAAAGGACATGATAACCCTTCTCAAGTACTGAACACATTTTTGCAAGAAGCGGGGAAAGAACTTATGCTTCTTAACTTCTGAGGACAGGGCAAGAAGCAATGGGCTTAACTTGTGGCAAGGGAGGTTTAGGTTGGACAGTATGAAAAACTTCCTACCTGTCAGGGTGGGTAAGCAATAGAATAAAGTGCCCGGGGAGGTTGTGGAATCTCCATCATTGGGGGTTTTTAAGCTCAGGTTAAACAAACAACTGTCAGGATGGTCTAGCTAATACTTAGTTCTGCCGTGAGTACAGGAGACTTGACTAGATGACTTCTCAAGGTCCCTTCCAGTTCTGGTATTCTATGGTGTCAACTGCCAATGACAAGTTACTAACACACCTAAAGTGTAGGCTAACTTTGCCTTGGAGGTGAACACACAGAGCTGCCCAAAATTTTAGTTTCAAGTACAGCTACAGCTCTCGACTGAACTGAAAAGAACCATTCAGTAGCTATATATGAAAGCTGACCTCTGTAGTTCTATAGAAACAGGAGGACCAGATCATCAGTCTAGGTAAACCTTTTGACTCCAATTAAATCAGCTGAGGCTCGGGCAATGTGAAATTCTATATCTAAGGTCAGTCGTACAGTCTTTTATCAAAGCGGATTGTGGTTGAGATTTGTCGTAACTCTCTAAGGTGTTTCCATGTCCACAACCCAACAATAGGTATTAGGGAGAAAAGGGGTCTGCATCTCATATGGAGATTTGAAAATCTCAACCTGCTGTTTTTAACAAAGCATCCCCAATTCTGCAATCAATGCCCTACAGAAAGTCCTGTAGGTTAAGCCGTAAAAGCTCTGTGTCCACAGCTCAAAAATAACAGAGTTTTGGTACAGGAGTAGTTCCAGAATTAAAACTATCACTAAAGGCACAAGAGTAATCTGAGTCAAAGAGACTTACCCAGTGCACCAGGCAGATGAAGTCAAGAGGAGTCGATAGAACCACCTGTACTGACTAGCACTTTTATACGCTTTCTTAGCAAAGGAAACACCCTTAATGCATTGAAATCAGATCAAGTAACCAAACAAAATGGTTACTTGCCTCAATAACCCCTGTAATTATTTTTCTGGTTTCGATCACAGATAACGATTGTTAATCAATTCCCAGTCACACAGAATGATTTACTGCACTCTGCAAGTTCATTTCATCTTCAGCCTTCACGAGACAGGTATTTTCCTGATATCATCCCTCTGATTTCCTGGGTGCCTACAGGGAAATACATCTTGTTTGGTTTCCTTCATTCTGCTTTGATTAATTTCAGCGTCTGAAGGTGCCTCGGAGGTGTATCAATGGTACAATCTGCTGGCCTACCCAGTATTTCATATTAATTCTTCATATATGCAGACAAGTAAATCACCAATGGCAAGGTGCACCTTACCCTTCAAACTGCTTGCGGGCTGGGCGAGTTATTCTGGCTTGCTTAGAATCCCCACTTGTAATTCTTCACCATGCTTGTGACCATTGGTTATGAAATCCATGGATGTCCTTTCAGTCAGGTCAATGGCCTTGAAACAAGGAGTTCTGGGTTATAACCCTCTCATGAAAACATGGCACAACATGTCCTATGGTTAAACCGAATCTCTCCTAAGCGTTGGGAGTACAAGAAAAGTGGGATCGAAATGGCTGTAGGAGAAGGGAAGGGATGTTTTTGTCTGGGATAATGTACCTAACAAGGTGCAGGAAGAATCCCATAAAAGGTGTAAATCATGGTCACTGACTCATGGCACCTATAGGTAAGGAACGAGCTTTCGTGGGAAATTAAACTAATCCGGAGTGTGATCTACTTAAGCTCAGGCTGCAAGGTCCTTCTCTCTGAGAAAACTCCCCCTCCATTGCCAGTAAAGAATAAAATTGTCAGACACACGTTTGAACATAATTTGCTGGGGGGAAATCAACATGGTTTCTGTAAAGGGAAATCCTGCCTTACTAATCTACTAGATAGGCTAGTTGCACGTTAAAGACTCACAAAACACGTAGATGATATCATGAGTTTTTGTGGGCACAACCCCAAAGAAGTAGGTTGGGCCCCAAAAGGTCATGATGCCATCTACTTGTTTTGTGAGTCTTAAAAAATAACGAATAGTCTAGTAGCACCTTAAAATCTACCAGAGTTCTTTGAGGGGGTCAACGAACTTCTGGACAAGGGGCATCCAGTGGATACAGTGCACTTAGATTTCCAGAAAGCCTCTGACAAGGTACCTCACCAAAGGCTCTTAAGTAAAGTCAGTTGTCATGGGATAAGCAGGAAGGTCCTCTCATGTATTGAAAGCTGGTTAAAAGACAGGAAACAAAGGGTAGGATAATTGGTCAGTTTTCAGAGTGGAGAGAGGTGACTAGTGGGGTCCCCTAAGTGTCCGTACTGGGATCAAACCTATTCAAGCTATTTATAAATGATCTGAAGAAAGTGATCAATTTAGTATCATCTGCAAATTTTGCCTCTTCACTGTTTACCAACGTAGTGAAGACCAAAGCAGAGTGTGAAGAGCTTCAAAAAGATCTCACCAAACTAGGTGATTGGGCAACAAAAAGGCAAATAATGTTATTGTTGATATATGCAAAGTAATGCCCATTGGAAAACATAATCCCAAATATAGGTACAAAGTGATGGGGACTCATCTATCGAGATCTTGGAGCACAGATAGTTCACTGAAAACAGCCACTCAATGTGCAGCAGCAGTAAGAAAAGCAACCAGAGAGTTAGGAATTATTCTCTCTCCCTTTGTTAATTAGACAGAGAATATTTTACTGCCTCTGTATAAATCCATGGTACGCCCACATCTTGAATACTGCGTGCAGATGTGGACACCTCATCTTAAAAAAGATATATTGACATTGGAAAAGGTTCTGCAGAAGGAAAAAATTATTCTGAGTTTGAAAGGGCTGCTATATGAAGAGAAATTAAAAGGACTGGGACTTTTCAGCTTAGAAAAGAGGAGACTAAGGGGCGATATGGTAGAGGTCTATATAATCATGACTGGTATGAAGAAATAAGGAAAAGTTAGTTTTTAGGTTATGGGAAAAAGTAAATAAGTGTCACTAAATGAAATTCTTATGTAGCAGGTTTAAAAGAAACAAAAGGAAGTTTTTCTTCATGCGCTACATAGTTAACCTGTGGAACTCCTTGCCAGAGGATGTTGTGAAGACCAGACTTTACAAAGGTTCAAAAAAGAGCTAGAGAAATGGATGGAGGTTAGGTACATCGATGGCTTTTAGCCAGCCTGGGCAGGAATGGTGTCCCTGTCCTCAGTTTGCCAGAAGCTGGGAATGGGTGACAGGGGAGGGATCACTTGATGATTCCCTGTTCTGTTCATTCCCTCTGGGGCACCTGGCATTGGCCATGGTCGGCAGACAGGACACTGGGCTGGATGGACCTTTGGTCTGACCCCGTCTGACGGCTCTTTTGTTTATTCTGTGTGGTTATTTACAACAGAACAGAATCAAGCCCGATGCATTTCCTTCATGACAGGAGGGGTGTAAATGGAATGATACTGGGTGTGAACACGCTGCATAATGAGTTGAGATTAAATCAGTCTTGAGGGTGTAATGGCGCCTGTCATTGAGTCTGGAAGGCTCGTAACACCTGCCCGGAATGGGAGGAGAGCCAGCTGTGGAAGATTGTGTTTCATAACTGACAAGCACGTCTTGCACCATGGGAATACGTGATCCACGCTGTGGCCTAAAACAGCCTAGAAACGTCTTCCCAGCTCAGGCCTCTTCTCACTACTTCTCTCAACTTCTCCTCGTTGGTGAACCCACTAAATCTGACATCATGTGACCGCTTCATAAATATTTGCCTCTTCCTTTGTTGTTCGTTTAGCTTCTGGCTCGATCTTGCACTTTAAGGCTGGACATGAATGTGATCTGCAAGCACTTGAAAGGAGGCCATAGAAACAGATGGGGAAGAGGTCTTTGCTCTTGCCCCCGAGGGCAGGATAAGAAGCAACATGTTCCACCTACCACAGAGCAGATTTAGATTAAATCTCCGGAAAAACTTCCTAAGCTGTAAGAAGATAAGGAGAGTGGAACAGAGGTGGTGGAAGCTGTCGAGAGATGTTCTAGGTGGCTGAGATCAAACAAATCCTGCATCTTGTCAGAGGATGAGACAAGAAAACTCTCGTGGTGCTTTCTGACCCTTTGGCTCTATGAGTCTAAAAAGCTTGTGATTCTTTCTACTGTTAAGGGACTATTGTCCTCAGAAAAGTGTCCGTGAACTCAGTTAGCTACAGGCACGGTGGCTTGCCAAAGATAAAGCAGCTCATTTCAAACCCTCAGAATGTCTGGAGGGCTTTTGTTCTGGTTAATTTCATTGAAGAAAGGGGGATTTCTATTACTTAGGAAAGATTTTTAAAACGCCAAAGATATTTAGATAATTACACAGTATTAGGCAACCTCTTCAGCCTACTTATGTGTGTCAACATATTTCCACCAGCTGAGGATCTCATCTTCAATTTACATCTAATTAAGGCAGTTGAGTTTCATGAATAATTATTCCAGCATAATGAGAGGCAGAGAGAGATTCCCATTCTCTGCTGTAGGGATGTGATGCGAAACTATCGAAGAAGCAGAAATTAAAACATTTTAGTCTCTTTTGGACACCTTTTTGGTTGTACAGACTTGCTCTGATAAATCTGTGTCTTTATGCGACAAGGGACAGAACAGCAGAGTTGTGATTCTCAATCGGGGCAAGATTTTCCAGGGGTTGCATCAAGGTATCTACATATTTGGCTACTGTTACAGTGAACTGCATAAAACACACGACTGAAGTCAGCCCAGACTGAACTATCTTATAGACCAGTGATCCCCAACCTTTAGAGGCTGCCGGGCACCAGGGGGCGTGGCCGTTAGCCTGCCGGGCGCCAGAGGGCGGGGACACATGCACGCCCGGGGCCGGCGCCCCCTCCTCCCCATAAGGTGCTTGGGGGCGGGGCCCCCCCGCAAGTGCCACGCTCCCGGGGCCGGGGCCCCCCCTGCAAGCACCGGGGGCCAGCA